TTTTGCAACATTTGATAAACGTTGCTAAAGGTAAAACCTTCCATAACACTTAATAAACGTTGCTAAAGGTGTCTACCGCAACATTTTTCTAAAAAACGTTGCCAAAACTCATTTATATTAACAAATGGCAACATTTACTTACTAAAATATTGCCAAAAGACCATTTTGGCAACATTTGTTGACAAATGTTGCCTTTTTAATGTTGCAAAAGACCATTTTTGGGGTAGTGATTGGAGCTGTTATTAAATTAATCTGATTCTTAATGTTTGACAAATGTTGCCTTTTTAATGTTGCAAAAGACCATTTTTGGGGTAGTGATTGGAGCTGTTATTAAATTAATCTGATTCTTAATGTTTGGTCAGTGGGGTGTGTTTTCATGGAGCCAATGGATTGAAAGCTATTATTTCCTATAGAGATTGTTAGAAATATGTATTCATTCGTTTATATCCAAATATGCGGAATTAACCCATAAAAAGCAACACATCACTTATTTACTGCTTCTAGATGATTAAAGTTAAATACAATTTAAACTCTAAGTTAAACAATCACAAATGTATATTTCAAAAAACATAAAAAAATAAATAACAACAGAAATTGATGACTGGAGGAAAACTCCTTCAAGAACTCTTCAATAGGATCAAAAACTTCTGGACAAACTTTGCAAAAAAGATCCACTAAAAAGTTAACTTATAATTGGTCCAGATACTGCTAAACTTTAGCTCACTTTGACCATCCAAATTGTAATCCGTCAAAGAACCTCTTCGATTGTTCGACCTGCACTTCTCAACAACTTTGGATTACTTTTCCCTCGACGTGGATCGCTAACAACGAACTCGTTCTGAAACACTGAAACTCCAAGCATCTCTTCTCCAACTTCAGAACTCTGAAAATTTATAGGTGAATGTAATTATTTTTGGTGTTTGATCAATGAACCTTTAGTGTTTTAATGGAATCAAGTTAAGCTTCAATGAAATGTTTTATTGACTAAAATTAAGGCACAACCAATAATAAAAAAAAAGTTTAGCATCAATTATGATGATTTGATCTTAGGTTTAATCAATAGATCTTTGAAATGTGTCTATGAACTTCAAAGAATGTTCTCTAATATGAAATAATGACTCAACATACTTTGGAACGGACACCTACTTGAGTATTTATAATATGAAGTGTTTGAATTTGAATAGGAATAGAAACCAACTTTAAAATCGCGAACAAGACTTTTTCGGATGACTACATTGCTTGAACGCTAAAGTTGGAGCCTAATGAGTAGCCGGTTCATCGCTTGAGCGCCACCTCGCATCAAGCGAGCGGCGGTGCTCCATTATGGGCACTCAAGCGTACATAATGTTGAAGTAAGTGTGGTTTATAGATAGGAATCAACACCGGTGGTTGCATATATAAGAAAGGGTAGATCTCATTGGTATTAAGAGTAATTTCGGGAAGGGAAGAACCTGGAATGTCGGAATGCCATTCATGTTCAAGGAGCTATTTTGCGTTGACTTTTTTTGCTTATTCTATATTTGACATCTTTGATACCTTCATGACCTTAATACCATCCAAAACTACTTTGACTTTAATTACAGCAGATTGCAATTTTGACCTAACAAAGATGATGTGCACAAGTTGCGTCTATTTATGGATGTATGTTTCTTGGGTATTACACTTTGTTGGAGGCCGAGTGCTCGATTACCATACTGATACAAGACCCCATATATGTATTTTTGGGACATAATTTTCCTTTGTTTTTTTTTTTTTATATCATAGAGTCTTTGATGGAACAAGGACTGTTCCTCAGTATATTGGATTTTTTAAACCCTCGTTTGACAATCATACATTTCAAACTCTTTTTTTTCTATATACTTATTTTCAATTATACATTCAAAAAATAAAATATTTTGCATGTAAACTTAAAAAATTTCTCTACTGTTTAACCACATATTATCTTAAAAATCACTGTTCGACACTCTTTTTTTGAAAAGTATGGTTGTCAGAACTTTTTTGTTCTATATACTTATTTTCAACCATGCATTGACATAATAAAATATTTTACATGTAAATCCAAAAAAATTTCTTACTTTTTAACCACACATTCTCTTAAAAATTACTATTCAAAACTCTTTTTCTTTTTTGAAGTATGGTTGTCAACATGGGCTAAATGTGGTATTACCATCCTTCAATATCTCTTAAAGGCATCATGTCAAACAATTTATTATTACTATTTAATGTGTCAATACATTCTAGTAATTTTGATCCATTAGTACTGTGCATAAGCGTGACGAAGAAGCTTGCTGGCATTAGGCTGAGTTGAGATTTTTGAACGAACATGAGAAGAGATACATCCGGCAACTTCCTCCTTATTGCCGACAATATTTATTTAAAAGTTTCAACATGTGCAGCTTATTGCTATTAAAAAGATGTTGACATTTGATCCTCGACAAAGGATTAGGGGTGAGGATTTCCGTTATTACCCCGATTTAATTGTAGTTTAAGTTTCGTGGCTACTTCATTTTGCATATTACCAAGCTTCTCTCTGTAACTTATGCTAGAATTAATTTGCTGCACATTCCAGTTAAGACTCCAATCAGTTACTCCATTGTAATTATTTCATACATATACTGAAACTCAATCCACGACATAAGCGATGAGCCTACTGCTCCTTCACATTGAACACGCTACCATTAGTTTCATATCGACACATCTCGTGCATTGCACACAGGGAAGGACTTGTAATACTAAAAGTGCATAAGAATAGTCAAATAGCTCATAAGTTATCAATTTAATTTATTCAGAATAATGCAAAAACATGTCTAAGTCCAAATCTTTTGGCCCCTATTTGGTTAGGATAAAAATTAGGCCCCTATAGAGTTGAAAAGTTATTAAAATTTATGGTCTCATAAAATATGTAGTTAAAATTGAATTTGAAAGAAAAATAAATTTTAAATTAAGGCTTGATTCCTTAAATAAAAACATATACAATTTCAACATTTCTATTAGGGAAATATTCACAACTCAGGCTTTATCTATCCTAAAATCAAAAATCAGGTCCCAAAGTTTAAAATTGCAAAAATCACGTTTTTTATGAATTAATTAATTATATTTCACAATTATTATATTAAATTAAATATTTAACTGTAATATAATATAATTAATCCACCCCCACCATCTCAACCACCCCCACTACTCCGGCGACTACTCCGATGATCGGCGACCACTGTTCTCCGGTCACAGATCAAAAATTTTGTAGGTCACGGATTATTTCGAGATCACAAATCTAAAATTTTATAAGTTACAATTTTTTTATTGGTCACACATCAAAAATTTTGTAGGTCATGGATTTAAAATTTTATAGGTCGCAGATCAAAAAAATTATGTCACGGTCGAGTATTTTCAAAGGTCTCAGATTCTTTTTTTAGTTATAAATTATCAATTTTAAAGTCACAGTTCAGTAGATAGGTCACATACACCAAAAAAACCACCACGCCGTTAAACCCCATCCCCCAATCCCAGTACACTACCAACACATGGTCACAGATCGACCAAATAGTTGGTCACAGACACTCTTCGTTACATCCGCTCGTCGCCGCCGCCGCCGCCATTTCCATCGCCACAACCATCCACCAATAATAACACGAACAACAATCACAACCAAACCACCACGTCGTTAAACCCCATCCCCCAATCCCAGTACACTACCAACACATGGTCACAGATCAACCAAATAGTTAGTCACAGACACTCTTCGTCACGTCCACCTGCCGTCGCCACCTCCATCGCCACAACCATCCACCAACAACAATCACAACCAAACCTCCACAGTCGCCGCCTGCACAGTACCACCACCACCATCATCGTCGCCCCGTCACAACACCACCACAACCACCGCCATAATAATAATTAAAAAAAATTTACAACCATCACAAATCACAATCCACAAACTTCATTGACGCTAAACAACAACCTCACATTCAAAATATGCAAAATTCCAAACAACGTTCACTACACACGAGTCGATGCTTATAACAATTCAGCTCAGCTTCATCCAATTCCAGTCACAGCCACACACACACATCCAGCTCAACTTCATCCAATTCCAGTCCGGCATGTTGGCTCAACTCAGGGACGCACGAGTCAGTGCCTCCAGAACTCACAGAGTCAATAAATCGTTGTTCGAGGCTCAGATCTGTGCTCTTACACTTCGATCTTGTGAGCTGCCAATCATGGGGAAAGGGAAGGGGAAAGGGAGGAGGAGGGAGAAGGGGAGGACGCAGCATGGAGGGAGGGAGGGCAAGGGAGAAGGGAGGGAGAGAGACGATGTGTGGGGGGAGGGGGGGAGTGAGGAATTGATAAATAAATTAGGGTTTTAATAGATTAATTATTTAATTAAAATGATAAAAAAAACCTGATAAATGAAAAAAAACGTGAAAACCTGATTTTAAAAAAAACCGAACTTAAAACCAGGTTTGGTGTAATTTCCTCTTTCTATTATCTGTATCATCCGGGCTACACGACCCGTTAACCTAAGTATCTCGGGTCTTAACACCGGAACAAACAATCCGGGCAGAGAAATTATAGCCGTAAAAAGGAAGCTCCTAGAATCGGACGGCTCAGAATGCTCCAATTTCAAATTGATTGAAATCCGCCCTTTTGAAAAACCCTTTTCTGACCGTTTAAGGGATCGTTTCCTCATTCTCTCCGGAAATTCTCCACTCGAGCTCTGAATTTCAAATCTTCATCTTTCTTATTCGATTATTGTTTATGTAAACGGGATTGCTTCATTATGTTCATGGATGGTATTTTCTCCCTCTCTCACACAAACGTGCGATCACACAGGCAGAGATTTATCTGTACGCTAATACTGTGTTGCTGTATTTGAATTTGCAGATCAAGCCCTAGATACGCTATGTGTGAAATTCGGTCATGCTGTCACCGTCTCGGATGAAAATAACGGTAGTAGTTTTTTTTTTTATCTGTACGATAGGTTTTTTTTTTTTCGATTTTCAATTTGTACTGAAGCGAAAATTGTAATATGTTTTGGAAAAATTTAATGCAGACCAAATCATAGAGACTCCAAACCCTGATGCTGCTTTGTAAATCTTTTTCCCATTTTCCCGATTAGTTCAGGAAATTGTTGGATTGCGGTTTCTTGATTTTAATAACTGGGTCGGAATATTGAATATTTCCAATTTTAATTATTTTTTTTCTCAAGAATACTGATTAAAATATCTTAGTGGACTGAAATTTTTTTCCCAGCATCTTCTAGTTCCAGAATAATGAAGTTCAAATAACAGAAAAGGAAAAGGAAAAAAGACAAAGATTGGGGGAAATTCCCATTGCTTTGGGGAAGTAATAGAGAGAATCAATTAATTTGAGGATGATATACCAGATCCGCATTATCTTTTTCACCTTTTTCACAAACAAAAATAGGAATCCATAGGTTTAATTTATGCGACCTGGGGATAATAAGCCATTAATTGAATCCTGATTTGCTACTATTGGATCAGGACCACATGAAGGAAACAATGATTTAATCGGAGGCAGTGGTGACTCCGTTGACACCCAAGAATCAGGCTAGTATCCAGGGCAGGCTCTTCCAATTTTCAAGAAAATTGAAGATTTGAGCAACTAATGATTTAATCGGAGGCAGTGGTGCCTCCGTTGACACCCAAGAATCAGGCTTGTATCCAGGGCAGGCTCTTCCAATTTTCAAGAAAATTGAAGATTTGAGCAACAAAGTACAGGTACAACACGAGACCTCTGAAATTAAAAATCAGTAATGTCTGTATTCGGCGTTAGTTGTCGCTTTGTTTTCAGAATATTAGAATGGAGCATACACTTTTGTGCAATGAAGTTAAGGGCATCAGTGCTGATTCTTTACTTGGCTCCGAAGCTTTCACTACTTTACAAAATCTTAGTATGTCTAATACTTCACCATCATACTTTTGAGATTTCTTAATGAGTTTGACTTGAATTTTTTAAATGACCTCTTCTGTATTGCTCATAATAATAGGCACAGAACATGAACTTTTGAAAAAGAAGTACAACGAGGAGTGTGAACTATTGAAAATGAAGTATGTTGAAGAATGCTCAGAAAGAAAGCGGCTCTACAATGAAGTGATTGAGCTCAAAGGAAATATTAGGGTCTTCTGTAGGTGTAGGCCACTGAAACAAGATGAGATTGAAAATGGGTCTACTTCAGTCATAGATTTCACCTCGTCTCAGGACAATGAGCTACAAATCATTTCCTCTGATTGTTCCAGAAAGCAATTCAAGTTTGATCATATATTTAGACCTGAGGACAACCAAGGTAACTTGAGAAGTTAAGAATTAAGGTGTAGTTTGTGTGTAGACTTCCGTTTAATGGTTTTTATACCAATCCAATGTTGTTTATGCAATGCAGAGGCAGTTTTCCTTCAAACTATGCCCATAGTGACTTCTGTCTTGGATGGCTACAACGTATGCATATTTGCCTACGGGCAAACGGGTACTGGCAAGACATATACAATGGAAGGAACGCCAGAAAATAGGGGCGTAAATTACAGGACTTTGGAGGAGCTTTTCAAAATATGTAATGATAGGAGCAGTATTATGAGATACAAATTGTTTGTCAGCATGTTAGAGGTCTACAATGAGAAGATAAGAGATCTTCTAGTTGATAATTACAACCAACCTGCTAAGAAGTAAGTTTTTATCATTCCATACAGACTTGCCTTTCATTTGAGTCCTTTATAAATTAAATCATGAGCTTATGCATCTTAACAGTAGGCGTTTGTATAAGGTTGTTGATAATTATTAATACGTTTCTGGGTCACTCATTCATGGAATCCTTATCTTTCAGCAGCATTTCTGTGTGGTCTAAACTATAAATGTATACTTAGAACTTGATAGTCGATAGACAACCGTTATCAGGTGAAGGGTTAATACTGCATTATTGGAAGAGGATTAACACTCTAGAAATGCAGGTTGGAGATAAAGCAATCGCCTGAAGGTACTCAGGAAGTTCCAGGGCTTGTTGAAGCTCATGTTTCCAGTACAGATGAAGTTTGGGAACTGCTCAAGTCAGGAAGTCGAGTAAGATCTGTTGGATCCACAAATGCTAATGTGCTCAGCAGCCGTTCTCACTGGTAAGTTTGAGCATCGTCTGCCATCGGCATTATGTTTCTTGGTAATGAATTAAATGAATATTCACCACATTATTTTTTGAACGGAAAGTTTGTCAGGATAATGGATGACTAGTTCTCTATATTTTTTTTCCTATTTAAATATAATTGCAGCTTGTTGCGAGTGACCTTTATGGGAGAGAATTTAATAAATGGTCAGAGAACAAGAAGCCATTTATGGCTGGTTGACTTGGCAGGAAGTGAGCGTGTCGGAAGGATTGAAGTTGAAGGTGAAAGGTTGAAGGAATCACAGTTCATAAACAAATCCTTATCAGCATTGGGGGATGTTATCTCTGCTCTCGCATCCAAAACATCTCACATTCCATACAGGCATCTCTCTCCCTCTCTGATTTTGTCTGTCTGTCCATGTGTTTATGTGCTATTCCATTTTTCTAGTCTAATCATCGATTTCTTTTGGATAAACAGGAACTCGAAACTCACTCATATGCTGCAGAGTTCTCTTGGTGAGCTACAGGAATCCATTTAATGATAAGGACAATAATTAGAGAGCTAAATGTGCCATTATTTAAATAAGGAAATGAATTAGAGATTTCAATGAATAATAATACCATTTAGGAGAAAATTACAAAAGTTGAGAATCTGAGATAATTCTTATTTGGTTATTATGACCATGTAACTACAGATTTCTTGGCTGCATAACGTCCCATACATAACACCTAGTGGAACTCAAAATGCAGGAGGAGATTGCAAGACTTTGATGTTTGTCCAAATCAGCCCCAGTGCTGCTGACTTAGGAGAAACCCTTTGCTCATTGAATTTTGCAAGTCGTGTCCGAGCAATTGAGAATGGGCCTGCTCGCAAGCAGTCGGATCATGCAGAGCTTTTCAAGTACAAGCAGCTGGTATGCAACAGCAAGCAATTTATCATGAGAATTGTTCCTGTATGATTGGCAAATGGTGTGTTATTCATGTTTTGCCTTTTTTTCCCCTTGTATGTATAACAGGCAGAAAAAGCTAAGCATGATGAGAAGGAAACGAAGAAGTTGCAGGATAGTATGCAGTCTTTGCAATTGAGGCTTGCTGCCAGAGAACACATTTGCAGGAGTCTTCAGGAGAAGGTACATATAAATTAGAGATTACAAATTTTCCAGTAGAATTACTCAAAAATAAAATGTGGTGTGGGCCTCAGACTAGTTGGCATGCTTAAACCACGTGTGATGCTACTTTAATTTGTAACAGGACCATATTTTTTAACTTTTGGGTAAAGGCCTGATGATTTTAAAAAATTTAATAGGTTCGGGATCTTGAAAACCAATTAGCAGAGGAAAGGAAAACAAGATTAAAACAAGAAAATAGAGCTTTGGCCTCTATTTCTACTCAATCCTCTGCTGCCTTGTCATCTCTAAACCAAACACAGAAGATCACAGCAGACAAGAAACCACCTTTGGCTCCTACAAAAATGAGGTTGCCACTTCGAAGAATTACTAATTTTATGCCAGTGGCATCTCCTGCTCCTCCCGCAAACAAAACCAGTAAGTCATTTCTCCCAGTTGTGGATGAGTACAAAGAAAACACCTCAATGGCATCAGGGACTGCAAATAAGGGAAAGACAACGTTGAGAGCAAGACGTGGCTCCATTGCTGTAAGATCAACCCCTTCAGAAACGTGTAAGGTTGTTCAGCCCACACGAAGAGCTTCCATTGCAACCCTCCGGCCCGAATCCAATGCAAACATGAGAATTCCACTGCAGAGATCAACTGCTCAGGTAAGGACTGATCGTGTTATGGGCAGACAATCGTTTGTGTGGGATCCACAAAGAGTATGGCATACATCAAGAGTGTCTTCTCCATTACCACAGAGGGAAACGTCAAGAGTGGCATCGGTAGAAGCAACACCAGTTGGCCCTAGAAGTAGCAGATTTCGGGGCAGTCCACCTACACAGCCAGGTTCATGGATACCTAAGCATCCTACAGTCATAGCATTACAAAAGAAACAGGTAGTGTGGAGTCCACTCAAGTTGAGAGGCCTGAAAACTAACAATAGGAAGTCGTTACTGTCCACATGAAGTGAACAAAATCGAACACTTTTTATCCTTCGGTTTTTGACCTGATCAGTGTGTACCTGTACCAGGTTTTTCTGATAGATAATTGTTTCCTACAAATGCCATGAAATGCTATTTTTAGTATATGTAATCAGCTTGTTTTCCCCTTGTAATCTTTCCTCAAATACTGTTTCCAAATTCTAAATTTGCCTGTTCTCTGCAATTCATAGCGCAGTTTGTTTGAATTTGAAGAGTTCCATATTTTAGATTATTGAATTCATCATATACCTTCTTATGTATATGTTTACCGAGAATTCCAGCATTTACTAATGATGCGAGTGCATAACATTGTTTGAAGGGTAAAAAGATGAGAAAATAAAAAAACCACCACTTCCCTACCTCCCCAACCCAGCGGCCTTGCTTGCTCCCCCATCTTATTGGTTTCTCTCCCCGACCAGCCTGTTGCCCCTCCTTCCCCCCTAGCTAGCCATGTCAACGAGCCGAGCTGAGCCGAAACTTGTGTTTATGTGCTATTCCATTTTTAGCTGCTTGCCAATTAATCAATAGTAGACTAATATTGTTTATTTTTCTGTAGCATGGACATTTCAATTAGGGTAGCGTGTTCGTGTTCGACCCGTGTCGGACACGAGTCGATACCGACACTTTTCAGACATTTTACTATAATTATTTTTCTTTTTATATTAGAAATATTATATATTGTTAATTCAAAATTATTAACAAGTAACAAATAGGTATTCACCTTTAAAAGATTTCAACAAAAAAAATTAATAACTAGTATAAAATTAAATTTATACTATATAAATGAAGAATTTTTAAGAATTTAATCAACGTGTCGATAACGTGTAGTGTCTATACTTTTTTTAAAAATCGTGTATCAGCATATCCGATACGTATCATGTCGGACATACTTGTCCGTGTCGGTGCATCATAGGTCTATGTCATTGTCAGTCCCCCCATGTGATGTTGCAACCCTCCTTTCTTTTTCATCCATCAAAGAAAGGTAGCAAAAAGACATCCCTCACCCATTCATTCAATTATATAAACAAAACTACTGTAGCTATACGACAAATTATTGAAATATACATGCACAATCATGTTCATAATTAGCACCCCAATCAAGACCATATATATTTTTTATTTATACAAAAAGGCCAGTGGGGGTGGGTGTGTGATTGGGATGTGCAGGCAGCTACATCATTTTATTATTTTTTTCTCGTTGTTTCGATTTTTTATTATTATTAATGGCTCGGCTTGTACGGGCCAGCCCGTCTGGGTGGAGCTACACGGGTCGAGCCTGGCTCTAGCCGACGTCCCAAAATGGGGCTTGGCCCGATTCAGGTTTTTTTCAGGTCGAGCCCGAGCCGGCGAGCTTTTTTGTCATCCCTACTACCTCTAACCATCCATCATATTGATTTTCCCCAAATTGTTTCGCTCCAACTATGATCCATTTTCAAATGTAAATTGGAAGGAGGAAAATGAGTTGATTATTGAGGTTGTTCCATCGTCGTAGCCTTGTAATTTTCGTTATATACACGTGAACTGCTGCACAAAATAACTATGGACATTTTTCCATGTCCATCTAACTAGGTCAACATCATTGCTCTGAGAGAGAGAAAAAAGGGAGGTCTGAACGGTCAACTCATTTTGTTGACCGCATATGAACGTTAAACGCTAAAACGAGCACACATTTGTGTTAAAAATTGTGTCAAATTTAGCCTAACAAAGTCTAGTCCAATTTTATAACTTAAAAAATGTAAATTGAGCCTAGCACACATCAAATTAACACAAATCACTCAAACCCTTGAATTATATATAAAGTGATCCCTTATTGACATTTTAAAAATAAAAAAAAAAATCATAACAATTTTTTCGTAAAGTTGCAATCTACGTCGAGCAAGAGCTTCCTTCTTTATTTTTTCTCTAGTTTTATTAGCTAGTAATGTTAGTAATGAACAATCTTGAATTATTGATGGTTGTGACAACTCATTTTGTTGACCGCATATGCGCACGTTAAACGCTAAAGATGAGCACACATTTGTGTTAAAAATTGTGTCAAAATTAGTCTAACAAAATGTAAATTGTAGGAACACATCAAATTAACACAAATCACTTGAACCCATGAATTATCAGCGATTTATAGGGTCTTGACGTTTTTTTTAAAAAAAAATCATAACAAATTTTTCATAGAGTTTGTAAACTATCTACGCCAAGCAAGAGCTTCATTCTTCTTCATTTTTTCTCTAGTTTTATTATAATGCAAGTGATGTGTACTGAACAATCGATGGTCGTGAGGTTAATAATGATGTCCATCCACAAAATGTAATAGAAATTCTCGAGTTCAAATAAGGGAGCTTAATGAAAATGATTTTACATCACTTGCATGGGTGGACCCAGGGGGTCATGGGACTTTTGAGATTTTTTTTTTTTATTTATAAAATCACGTTTGATATCGATTGAAATTTTAATTTTAATTTTAATCAAAGTTAACAATTAATTTTAATAACATATTTCATGGAATCCATAACTGTTTAATTTTTATCAAAATTTACTAAAAATTTGATTTTAATCTCCACCAAATAGGGGCAAAATCAAGATAAATTTGAATTTCGAAATATACTAATTTT